GGCTCTGAAAGCCCTAAGCAGCTTTGTACTGCAGCAATGAAGACCTCTCGGGGCATTTCCCAGCCTGCATCTGCACTGTTGTTAATGTGGTATTTTTGAAACATCTGTCGTGTGTGTGTGTGTGTGTGTGTGTGTGTGTGTGTGTGTGTGTGTGTGTGTGTGTGTGTGTGTGTGTGTGTGTGTGTGTGTGTGTGTGTGTGTCAGGCGAAATTACGCATGAGTGTCTGGCAGTTAGTCTCCAGGGTGTTTTACCTTCTTCTATGATGTTGGAAATTAGTGAAAGACACACACACCCACACACCCACACACACACACACACACACACACACACACACACACACACACACACACACACACACACACAGGCTGGGTAATTGCCCCCTGAAAGGTGTTTGAAGAACACGCCAACAAAAACAAAAAGAGATTGCTTTTGTTGTTCTCATGACTCAAATGTATGATGTTAAAATATTTGCCTTTAGCCAGCAGAAGCCATATTTTCCACAGATGGATTAGTTTTCCAATTTAGATTTCTGTCGATGGTACATGTTCTTTTGAAATTGTATTTTCGAAATGACTTTTAGGTTAAAAAAAACCTTAAATTGAAGGTCCCACTGTCACAGGCAAAGCACTGAGAAATGTATGAATGTGTCATCTAGTTTTTTTTTATTATATACGTTATCACTGAATTTGTGCTAATTAGCAAAAAACTGGTGATATTTCTGACAATGCGACACATTTACGCCTGTGTAGTCTATGACTGGCCCTGTTTGTCCCAGCTGTGTCTGTTTGTGTTTCTCCCAAAGAAAGCTCACTTCCAACCCTGCAAAACATCCGGACCGGTGCTTAAAATAACCCCGATTACTGGGATGAGCGGGCAAGCATGCTTAGAAGATGCAATATCGAATATGAGAAGAAAGCAAGCGTGAATAGAGCATTGAGTCTTCTGCCGACTATTTGTGCAATTCAGTAGAGCTTTGATGATGAGCACAGGGTGGTGGAGAAAGATGAGATGGCTCATGTTTTGTTTGTTTGGATGACCCAGAAAGTCTCAAATATCAAGAAATGTCACACTGCTGATAAAACACAACACAATAAGAGTATTGTGAAGCTGCTTTTTCCCAAATACAACGGGAACATGTAGTGATAAAAACAGTTAAAGGTAGGGTATGTAATTCATTTCAGAAACACTTGTTGTTATATTCCATGGAATGCTCTTAACTTCCCGATAGCAATGAATATATTAAATGCTTTGACAATAAATACATCAAATAATTTCATCTGTGGAAGCCGTGGCGCTGTAAAAAGCACGACCAATCATCTGAGCCGGCCCGGCTAAAGTAACTGGATGGCCTACCTGCCTGTCAGCCTTCCATCTGTGCACAAACTTATCTCGTGCCCTCATTGGTCATGTGCGCGTTCGTGTGTGTTGGAGGAGGGGCTCTAATGAAGAGGCAGATTTTTTCCGGTTGTGTATTTTCAAATTCTAGCGCACTCGAGCTGATTTCTCCAAAATGACCAACCCCACCTTTAAAGCAGTAGTTCACCAATCTGGGAATTAGCCTACCATTAGCCTAGCATAGTTTATGATTGGCGAAAAAGTTAGCTTGGATCTATCAGAATGAAATAAAACATATGGTGACCAGACGTCCCCGTTTTCCTGGGACAGTCCCCGTTTATATTGGCCTGTCCCCGGTTGAAACTGTCCCCGGAAATGTCCCCGTTTTTTAATAACGTTAAAAACACATAGCAAGGTGAAATAAAACATTTCATGTCAGGAAACACTGGGTAAACAGACTGTGGTCAAGCCAGCCCCCACATTTCGGAAAACACAGTCAAAAGCACGTTATTATATTAAAAAACGGGGACATTTCCGGGGACAGTTTCAACCGGGGACAGGCCAATACAAACGGGGACTGTCTGGTCACCCTAATTTAACTACATGTCAAGTTTTGTAAGAATGAAACAAACATATTAACAAACCTAATGCAAAAGTGGCAATAGACATGCTTTTTGCTTTCAATTATTATAATACATTAAATATTAATGGAACGATGTAATGCTATGACGATAGTTTCACTTTGTTATTCTGTCTGCCTTCAGGCCTGTTCTCCAGGGACATGAAGGATCGATTCAGGGCACAAAGGAACTGTGTCAACCATTGTTCCATCAAAGCAGAACGAAGGTAGGATTATGTTTCAGTATTGGTAGCCATCACCGGTTACCAAAGAGTATCAATGTTCAGTAAGTTCTTTACAAAATATCCCCAGTGGTTCAATAGGCGGGCAGTGAAACCACCTCAGTAACAAAATGCTCTTCTGTCATGTGTTGTTGATTGTTGCTAGCAGGAAAACGGATAGCACGGATTCGATCTGGTTGTCTTTGCAACACGCCGCCAACAATAATACGACTTGGAAACACTAGGCTGGATGGAAGATTTCCTTTTTATATTCACTAGCCATTTCCAGTCTCTATGCTAAGCTAATCGACTGCTGACTCTATCTTTCATTTTGCCTACAAACACAAGGAATTTGAATATTCTCATCTAACTCTCAGCGTAAAAATGACAAGACTATTCACTTTAAAAAAAGATGAGGAAGAGATGACTTCTCAGTTTTCAGCCCACATAAATTGGCACATACAGAAATGCAGTCAATATAAAGGGAGGAGGTCGCAGCAAAGAGAAGAGAGGATTAAAAAAGATGGGAAAACCAAGTGAAAGATTGAGAGAAATTAAGTTAAAACAAGAAAAAGAGGAGGCGAGAAAGGCATGCATGCAAACCCAGATTTGTCTCATTGCAGAATGGCAGTATTCCTCATTTTCTTTTATTATCCTCTCAAATCAAATGTTCTGGACAACTTTAGCCTGAGCGTGGGGCGCTTCAGCCACAGCTGGGATAAAAAGGAAGTGGAGCTGCGCCCTCACATTCCTCCAGAATTGATCGAGACATTAAAATAGTCGCTATATATTATAGTGGGCTGACCAGTATTTGTATCCTGGCTGCTTCTCGATGTCCACAAACCTATACAATTAGGACTCCAATTTTAGAGTATTTACTGTAGGCTACATACTAGAACAGTCATGAGGGGAGCGTTTTGAAACTCAAATAGAGATTATGGCATTTTTCTCTAAAAGCAAGCACTTCAAGTCCCAATAAAATGGTCTACCTGTTCATTTTGGAGCCACAAAGTATGCTTATCTTAGCATAACAACTGGAATCTAAGCGAAACAGCCAGCCTGGGTTTGTCCTAAGCTAAGGTATCAACATCTAACCATCACCTCGAGGGCTGTTCGCCTAGCAATTTCACAGTGATGACTAAAAAATAAATACAGTCGTCTGATACGGTAGACTGGCATATAATCCCTCTTAAAACCATAAATTGCAGTTTTTACACAAACAAGATATGTGTTAATGAGTGGGTTTTGAGACTGTGTTAGCTTTTTCTAATCAGTTTACGGTCCTTTTGCTAAGCTAAGCTAATTGGCTGCAGGCTGTAGCTTCATATTTACCGTACAAACATAAGCAAGGATCAAAGAAGCAAGAAAGCAAATATCACTTTTTGCGAAATGTCAAACTTTATTTGAGAACATACAGTAGAAGTGCAATACAAATATAATTATAGATGATTTGTTTGTGCAGTCTGTTAGAAAATACAGATAGGTACTTAAGTAGGGAAGGAAAATTACCCCGTAATCCGCGAATCTGTCTAATGCAGGGCCAGAGTCTGATGGGGACAAAAACAGCCAATCAACAGTGATCCGTCACGTCTCCTCTTGTGACACGAAGCTACCGCCTGGCAGAAGTTCTAGCACAGATACTGACACACACATTTGATGGTTGGGTGCATTGGTGGATCGAAGGAAAGAAGGCCATTGAGATGAGTTTGACAAGTGTTTACACTCATCGGCTGCTGATTGTGTGTTTACAGGTTACCATGGGCTTGTGGTCATTCTCTGCCAGGCTGGTGGGTGAAGCTACAGTGGATGACAGGAGACAACGTTAGTTAGTGAGTGTGTGTGTCCGTGTCGTGTGTGTCCCCCCCCCGTGTGTGTGTGTGTGTGTGTGTGTGTGTGTGTGTGTGTGTGTGTGTGTGTGTGTGTGTGTGTGTGTGTGTGTGTGTGTGTAACTGTTTCTGCCTGGGTGTGGTTGCAGAGAGAGCACAGCTAATCGCTTATTTTGGCAACTTCTGAGTAATGGAGAGACAGTGAATGGAAAATGTAGGAAATGTTTTGCACAAACACACACATATGAACCTTGAGCATGCATGCGCTTAATTAGATTTTTTATGATCTGGCTTTCGTCTCTGGAGCCGAAGATTGCCCAAATGTTCCCGAGCTGAGCTGCAGACTTCAGAGGAGGAGAATGTGAGGAATGCCCTGACTTTTCTCTCCATAACGCGGAGAAATTGGACATGAAATAATCAGAGTATCAGGTTTAATTAGCTTGGAAGGCCCTCCTGACCTGTACATTTACAACTATTTTCTATATACACACATACTCGTGTAGAGGGATTCTAGCAATAGTGGTAATTACTGAAAAGTGACAGAGCCAAATGGGACTGGATATTGCTTGGTTCAGGGAAAGGACGTGTGTGTGTGTGCAGCATTTCTAAACATCTGTTTGCACTGATAGATTACCTTCAGAGTAGCATTCCTCCTGTGATGCTCGATCCCTGAAGGCGTGTCCAGGTACTTGACCTTTGAGCCCCATTTCGTCACTCTCAGTCCTGTCCTCTGTGTCTCCTTTCAGTTTTCTTTGAGCCTTTCTATGAATGTCAACAAAGAGATATCATTATTTGACGTGTCAACAAACAGCTGTTTACTTTAGATTGCACAGGTTTCCCAATTTTGTCCGTGACACTGAACTAGAACGGATCAGTGCTCATTGCTGGATGATATTTTTGTCTGATACCTGCATGAGTGTTGAAGTGTGTTGATTGAAACCAGAACGTTTGCTGTTTCCCATTTCTGTGGTTAAACTGGCCCACGCTTGGGTACTCTGTGTTCTGTGTGTGTGTGTGTGTGTGTGTGTGTGTGTGTGTGTGTGTGTGTGTGTGTGTGTGTGTGTGTGTGTGTGTGTGTGTGTGTGTGTGTGTGTGGACTTAGTTTCTGGGTAAATAAAACCCTACTGACGGTGATTTCAACATATTACATTTTTCTCTGATTAGCTGTTTAAAAAAACATCTCACGGTTTGAGACTTTTGTGGCAAAATGAGTTTAAAACTAAATGTCCTGAGAAAACCTCTCGTGCAATTATTCTTATGTGGAATTCTTTTGATTGGACATTATAAAAATAAGTGGGAGAGTTATAAAACACTTGTGGAAGAGCTACTGCACTGCAGAGACATTGAAATGTTTTCTAGTGCTCTTTGGATGGTCGACCAATCAGAAGCCACAGAGAGTAAAAAGAGTATAGTGCAGAGAAGTTAATGCAAACAACATAATTGCCTCTGAGACCCCAAACCACAAAAAGGAATATAAGCGTGCTATATAATGTGCTAACTCAGTCTTTCACTTTACTGCACTGCTTTCATGTCTTGATGTAAGTTATTTCAGAGAGTTCTTTCCTTTATACTTCATTTTACCCAAGATGTGACAGAAATACATTCAAGCAAAGGGCCTGGGCCAAGCCAGAGTTTATGATCTTTAACCAAACTGGAGTTCCTATTAAAAACTCAAACTCCTGTGGAAACAACAAGGGAACTTTCTTTTGAAGGAAGCACTCACCCATGACATATTCCGTCTATATTAGATTTTGAATTAACCATTCCCTTTTGACATCATTTACTTTGTGGGACTCTCCTGTTGACTCCACCAATGTTATACTAAAATCCCCCAAAGGCTGCCACGTTTACACTCGTTATCCTCAACATTTGGAATGTATGATTCAATTTGCTTCACAAGCAGCATGTTGACTCATTTTATCCTTGTATTTTAAGCATTCATGCCCTCAAACATGGAAGCGTGAAGGCTGAAGCTCAGCCGCTACGGTTAGCAGATGGCTAATCTATTAGCAACAATCGCCAATATTGAAGTTATTTTTGCTGCAGGATTTTCTTGTTCAAGCATGCTTTTCCTAATTTGAAGGGACATGCACTTATGTCCAATGGAAAACGTTTGTTGTGTGTAATAAAAACGTTATACTTACTTTAATAATATCGTTGTGTGATTCTTATTTGCTAATGTTTATCTATATTTACTACTTTCACTTCTTTGCTAAGCTTGGGAAAATTCCTTATTAAGAACATTTGTTGCAGTGTTAGTTACACTCCATGTGCACCAACAGTATGACCTTCAACTCAGGCGAACTGAGAACATCCTGATATGGCCTCCTTTCATTATCACTAAGCTTCGTCCCTCCCTTTCTCCTCTCTCTGCGTTTAAATATGCAACCCAAACTCTACTCTACGTCTTTTCACTCTGCAGACGCTGTATGCTCTCTGTATGACTGACTGAACTTTCTTGCAAGAAATCAAATACGACAAAGACAGCTGAATGGTTTGATTCTCTATCCACATTTGATAAATAAATTCCCACCACAAGTGTGAATGGTTTTCCATCACAGGCTAGATTTTCAAAAGCTGTAAACACAGAGGCAAGAGGTGCAGAAATCTAGTCTCCTCTCAGACCCAATGCATTTTATACTTAAATATTATTATGGAACTTTTTCGCCAACGATGCCCAAAAAACTATTTTAATACGATTTGGTACATGTTCACATTATTTCACATGTGAGCTATAACAAGCTCATTAGCCTCACCTTTGATAAGTCTCTGGCTCTGAGATATTCCACATAACCTCCTGTCCGAAGAAACCCACATGATCTCCCTCCTTTGTCCACAGTCCAGCAGAGCCATCACTCGAGGCTGTGAGGACGAACAACCTGCCGGACACCTCAAGGACGTCCACGCCCACTATCGATCTCTCATGAGCTCTCCATCGCTGCAGCAGAGGAGGCCGCTCACACACTGGCTGTGAGTAAAGAGAACACCTCAGGTAAAGGCGGATTTACCGTACATTACACACTTTTTATTTAATTGACTCCAACTTACACTCTCATCATGTTGGACGTCCAGTCCATAGTCACTGATGTCCCAGATCTGAAGCCAGCCGGTTGTATCTCCAGAGACCAGGATGGTGTTTTGAGGCTGATCCGAGCTCAGGCTCAAAACACGCTCACCGGGCTGCTCTGGAGAATAACACTGGCCTGAAATCAGACGGTAAGAAAATGAAATGCGCAGTGTTAAATCTAAATGGTTCTTGCTAGAGTCTGCTGTTGTTTGTGTTCTTGAAAGTCTACAGGGAGGAAGTTGCATGCAAGTCAATCTAGCTACTCAGGTGTGTGCCAGTTTCAGGAATACAAGATTCAAGCTTCAAAGGCTTTATTGTCATTGGCACAATAGCTGCAGCTGTTGGCAATAAAAAAAGTCCAAGGCTTCTCCAGCAGAGCAACATACAATGCATTTATGAAGAACATAAGTAAGTTGTGCAAGTTGCTCTGGTAAAAATGTAGGAAAAGGTACATTATTTATGTATAAGATGAAACAAAATGTAAATACGGTACAGTAGAATAAAATACTTCTTATTGTCAATATATATAAAATATGTGGACTGCAAACACTAATAATACTATCTTGACTTCAATGACAAATATACTTCTGAGACAAATTTCTACCCTTGAATGTTATGTCACACATCTCCCAATTATGTCACACTCTCAAAATCCTCTCTGGACACACACACACACACACACACACACACACACACACACATACACATACACATACACACACACACACACTGGCTCACTCCCATGCCAGCTCATACACACATGCATCTCTCACAGTTCATGAATCCCCGACCGCTAAACACAGGCGGGCCCTGGAAAGAGGAATAGTTGAGGGCTGGCAGGAATGGTAGAGGCGGCCGGCCACAGTTCAGCCTGACTGCCACATCTCTGTCTGTTTGTGAGTCCATCTCACAGGAGGAGCATTCAACCTGACAGCTGCTTGTCAACTGCTCTGGTGCATCAACCTCTGTCCTGCCGTGAGAGTTGTGTTCTAACTTCATGAACCTTTTTTGCACCTAGATTCATCATACCTCCGTGTTCCCCCCTCACCATAGGTGTGTGTCTGTCCAGTGATGCTCCAGAAGCAGAGACAGCCGGCCTGCGATGACACCAGGACGCCTCGGTTTCTCAACTTCCTGTTGCCGGCTCGGTGCTGCAGGAACAGCAGGCCGTCCACAGGGGGCGCCGCTCTAGATGTGTATAAGCAGAGAAATAAACAAAAGGGCCACAACAATGGACCAGTGATGACGAAGGGCTTTTGACACAAACGATGTTTCCCCCCAGACTAGAAAAGTGAGATTAATGGTTAGAGAAAGAAGATGAAAAAACAAATGTCTGCTAAATGATTTGTATTTTTCATTTTTGCCTTTTCTCCTGACCTTTGCTTCATATGGGAGATATTGCATTATGCTACCTTTGAATGTGATGAAGAGCCCCAACTAAACCCCTATGTAAGGGGTCACACATTTTTGGAGCCATGTTTGTTTAATCTTTAAAAACAAATTGTATTTCATAAGCGTATTTATGTTTTTTTTCAAGCAGCACGATCATTTCCTCTGATCTGTAGGGAAGTATAAGGTAACATATAATGGAAATGCAAAGTACAAGCACCTCAAACATGTATTTACGTGCAGTTCTTGAGTGATTGTGATCTGCTGTGACTACAGCTTTTGCTATCTTTCCATCACCGTTGTGTTTTCTCACCCTGCCTGTGTGGGTCTCTGCAGGTGGAGCACCGGCCCCTGTGTCTCCAGCCTCCAGATAATGACCTCTCCATCATAGCTTCCTGTGGCGATGACCCCCAGAGGAGAGCACTGACTCACAGCCAGGATGTCAGATTTGTGGACTCCGCTGGACTTCCACGACATGTCTGCTCTTACATACAAATCCTATATGTGAGGTAAATATAGACATGTAAATATTAAACACCAGATGAGCCGCTACAGACGGCAGACGGTTAAAGTTTTAACACCAATATTGACCTTGTTTTGACCTTTAACTGTCAGACTCTTTGTTTGATAAGTCTGTCTTTCCTGCTTTGAAATGTAGGCAGATGTTTTCCAATGGTGGAATAGCTCATTTTACTGCACGATTTAGTGTTTTATCAGGCTTTTCCTTATCTGAAGGGACACACTTGCATATGCATGTGTAGAAGAGCCAATAGAACGCCTTTTTCTTGATTGATATTATTGGCTTTTCATCAAAAGCTGTAAATTGAGGCAAAACGAAGTACTCTTCTCTCAGATGAATTGAATTATATGCTGAAATATTCTGGATCTTTTGCCCAATGATGCCCAAAGAACACCTGCCAACCACAGATTTGAATACAATGTGGTCGATGATGTCATGGATGCACTGGTGTTTTATTTGTGTGCAGTTTTCAGGTTGAAAAGCAGGAGTTGTTGTTGTGCTAGAAAAAGTTTCTCAGAAGACAGAAAGTACTCTCTCCAGGCTTTCACTGTGTGGGTGAACTTGTTGCCTGACATTGTGAAACTCTCTGCACATGGCTTCCCACCATGTGACAGTTTACAAACGGTCTGAAACAACATCTAATTATTTGTGTTGCCTTGTGGAAAGCAGCTCCATTTCCCTCTCTGCTTTACTGATTTTGTTTACACCTCTGGGCTACAGTGAGGTCAGCTCTTCAAAATGAATCTGGAGGCTCAGCATGGTAAACTTCAGAGGAATACAGCTGCAGATGTCTCGCATGGCACACATGTCTTTAATCTCCCCAGGTGCATGCAGGGTAATTTACAACATCATTCGCTGATATCATTTACTCCTAAAAAAAACATTGGAAACCCGCCTCTGCTGAAACATGGAGCGAAACATTATGAGGGAGTAGGGGGAAAACAGCACGGAGAATTTGCTGGAAAAGCACGAGGACTGAATGTTACTACTGTTTCTAAGGGATGGATCTAACTGCAGACAGAGCAGATCTTGCTTAAAGGGGGAGAGGTCAAATGTAACACAAGGATTTGAGGTGCCAAAATATGCACATTCGGACTTCTTTATAACATACATCGGTTCATATGTGTGTTTATACTGGCACTGGCAATGCTTAAACTTTAATTCTTCAAACCAGGGGGTCAGCATGTGGAGTTTTAGACATTTTTACTTACAAGAAGAGACACAAGAGGTCTGTTTTTAAAGGTATTACAGATTTAACAACATATCTATTAGATTTAATCAAATATTACTTCTACTCTAGGCTGATTTAATTAAAGAACTTAAGCTCAAGCAGTGTTTTAAGACTTGATCAGATTAGTCACTGACAGCTGTTTGTGTGGGATTCATCCTCCACATCTGGGGAAGAAACTTGTGGCCGAGCTTAAGTGTGAGTCAAGCTTTTTGGTTATTAGGTTATGTGTGCTGCTTTGTTAATGGATTTAATGCTGTAATTTGCTGTTTCACTTGGCGGTGCAAAGAAGAGCACACTCCCCAGAAGAGACCCAGCAGAAATGCCCGATAAAAATGTAAGAATGTCTGCATTTTAGTTTTATTTTGTTTGTGTCTGGTATTTAGTCCAAAACACACTTCCTTCACTTTTGAAATCCAAGCCACCTTCCAAGCAACAGCAGGAGGAATAAGACTGCCAACAAACATGTGCTTCAAATTCATGTCATATTTCTAGATACTGTATCTTTCTATATTGTCTTTCATTAAACACCCGTTTATCAGACATAGCAGTGGAACATTTGTTCACCCTGGTGGTAAATCCTTCTAGTTTAAAAAGTGGTTGATTATCAAATTGTAACCATCTTTAATTGTACCTTTGCAGCTGCGACGTCGTACTGAGCGACCCGCCGGCTCCATCCCACAGCCAACAGCTGGTTGTCATGGAGACAGGTCAACCCGGTGACTTCGGAGGTGTCGACGGGCTCCAGTTTGTGCAAGTTCAGGCCGTTAAGTAAGTTCCACACCTGCAAATGAACAAACTATTTGTACGCTCTTATAATGACTCCTGAACCTGGAAATCAATTAGCATTTGCACTTCCTGTTCCCTCGTCACACAGTTAATGTCTTTTGAATGGGTTTTTGGTTAGATTACCAAAGTAGGGTGAGTTGTGAACAGGTGCTTACGAGATTTTAACGTTAGTAAATACTGAGTAAATATAAATAATAGTCAGAAGTTCCTACGCGTTTTAAAATTGTCGGTTGCCCTCAAATGGCTAAATGAGAATACTGCTCGTTATCATGCTGAACATTAGCCGCCTTTAGCTTAGTGCAGGTGACAGGAAGTCATCAAGTGATCCTCATCAAATCAGATTTAATTTATACAGCCCAATGTCACAAAACACTTGTCTTAGTGGGCTTTACAGATCGTCATGTTATTGGTTTATAGCTTAAAGGTGGGGTATGTAATTTATTTCAGAAACACTTTTTGTTATATTCCATGGAATGCTCTTAACATCCCGATAGCAATGAATACATGAAATGCTTTGACAATAAATACATAAAAAAATGTCATCTGTGGAAGCCGTGGCGCTGTAAAAAGCACGACCAATCATTTTAGCGCCTACCTGCCTGTCAGCCCTCCATCTGTGAGCAAACGTATCTCGTGCCCTCATTGGTCATGTGCGCGTTCGTGTGTGTTGGAGGAGGGGCTCTGTAAGGAAGTCTGAAGGAAGGGGCAGATTTGTTCCGGTTGTGTATTTTCAAATTCTAGCGCACTCGAGCTGGTTTCTCCAAAATTACATACCCCACCTTTAACGTAAGCTTTCTGTTTCCAGCGATTGCATTAATGCTTCAACTAATATAAAGGTGTTTATTTATTATGAAGATATTAACTTTCTGAACAAGTGTAAATATCACTTGTGTTTGCCCCAAATCTTATTTTATAAACTATTCAAAAAAAGCCCATATCTTTTAGTCACCCTTGCACTGCTAACATATGGGTTGGCTTACTAAAATATGTCATCACTACCAGGTCATTGTATCAAATTCACAGTATTTCTGCACAAACTGATAGTGAAAAGTGCTGTTTAACCTTAATGGTGCCGTTGCGCGCCCCAGTGATCAGTCTTCTGTGGGAGGAGTCTAGTGCCATGCAGGTGATCCCCTCTTCTCCGTGAGCGTTTAGGATCTGAAGCCGCCTCCTCCCCGTCTCGACGTCCCACAGAGACACAGACGAGTCTTCATGTCCTGTAGCCACCTGTCTCAAAGTGGGGTTGTACAGAGCACAGGAGAGAGGGGGACCACTTTGAATATTTGGTCCAGGTTCCCTTCCTTCATCGGTCAGCCATCCGCCCCCTCCTGTCCTTCTTTCAGACAGACTGAGCACAGCTAGATAATCTTTGCATGCCACCGCTAAGAGAGGCTGCTCAGTGAGCGGGGGGCTCAGCAACAGGAAGGGGAAGTTTCCGTGTTCTGGGATTCGACCCGGCTGCTGGCAGGGGAACTGCAGGGCGAGGCTCTTCAGACACTGATGGCTGGAAATGTCCCAAACCCTCAGCTCCTGACAAAGGACAAAAGACATTAACTAGAAGAAAAATCAATAAAGATGCTTTGTTGTGATATTCAAAACAAAAACCAATACGATTGACATATTGAAAAAAAAGCAATAGAAGTAATATTTTTGAAATATTTTGAAGGCCAGTTTTCTATTTTAAATTCATTTTGTATGACTCATACAGAGGTGTTGCAGGTTACCAGTTTTACAGACAAAAACTACGATATTTAAAAAACGAAAATGTAAGTCAATTTAATTACCAATATGATAATATATTGTAAATAACATAACGGCTCTTAAATCATTTCTTCATCTTTCCATTCTTACTTCAAGATTCTCTCCCCACCTTCAGTATTTTGAGTGAAATGAAGTTGCAAAAGTTCACTGTAAACAAAGTGAAATGTAAATTTGACTGACATTTTGTCTAGTCCTATAAATATAGTTTTTGTCATTTAACTTGGCTGTGAAAATCTGACATCTAGCAGCACTCACAGCATCTCTGGAGTAGCTGAGGATCTGCCCCACAGGTTGGTAGATTTTAACATCCAGCACGGCGGTGCGGTGACCGAGCAGCGAAGCTACGGGACGCGAGGTGATGAAACGAGTCCACAGTCTGACCGCCCGGTCACAACCTCCGGTCACCATAAGCTGCAGAGACGCGTCGTAGTCAAAACATTTAGCTCCCTGAAACGAGACAGATAGACAGAGATGTTGCTGTGTTAAAGGTCGCCTATTATACTGTTTTTCATCAATATATTATAGGTGTCAGATATATACAAAACATGTCTCTGAAGTGTTTAGTCTCGCACCTCCGCCCGGGAAGGACAATTAAAGTAGATTTCATTGTCCTGTCTCTTAGTCGGGTGAAAAACTTTTGTCCCGACTTCTGTCCCGCCTAATACCCATACGACGGTACTAGACAAACCAA